TTTTAAATGTATAAAATAATTCAAAAATTAAACATGTATTGAAAAGGTTGTTTTATAAGCTTCAAAAGCTTTTTGCATCAGGTACATACTAGAAAATATAATATAAATCTTACACATATTTACATATGATATAGCAGAAAACAGTAATTATACATTTGTGTATTTGAAATATACATATACACATATTTCGAGACTGCTTCGAAGATCTCTTATCATATACATTTTTCTAACATAACAAGAGTGCCAGTAATTCTTGTATCACATCAAAGCACAAGGCATAAAAAATTTCCATTTTCAATTTTATTATTCATTACTCTCGCTTTTTAAACGAGGTAAATCATAAATTTTAAAAACAATCTGTTAGAAAAGAAATTGATAAAGGTGTATGATATAATTGATTATGTAGGATAAATACATTCATTATTATAATCCATATAACATTTGATCAATATATATGACATATGTATGTTACATCATATTGTTGTAATAATATTATAAGCATCCCACCTAAGGTGAAAAATGTAATAATTTATGATTTTCATACACTCCGTTTATTATAGGTACCTAGAAATATGTCGTAAATAGTACATGTATGAATTGCATACAACTCGGTTTTCGAATATATTTGAGATCTGCGTATAAAGTTTCGATAAATCATGTAACTGCCATGACTAAAGATGTATTTTAATTTTGAATGGGTGATGTATTTTAAGTTAAAATGGGAAATTACAAATAAATACATAATATGCGACGCCTGACTTTATTAACATTTATGCACGATGCGCGACACGTTAATGTGGATTTCGTTCGTTCGAATAAATATTATTCTGCCAATCGGCTCTTACTTGATTAAGGTGATTTATAAAAATGAGATATTATCGAGTGTTTCGTGAATAAGAAATATCGTTATTGTTATGGTATATTTAGTTCAACTTTAAAAAAAAAACGAATCGCAAACAGTAGCTAGTACAATTATTATATTATTATACACGTACGCTCAATATTGTACGCGTATATTCAATATGCGTAAATTAATAGAGTAATATTTAATAACTCGTTCGATTTTGATTTCAAATATTAGGCTATAATAGAATTCTGTGCTCATGTTAGAAGTAGAAATATGAAATACTAATCGAACGAGTTTCAACATCTTATTTTCTCTTTATGTGTCTATAAATCGGAATTCAAGAAAATAAACTATTGAGTGATAGATAAAGCGTTCACTATGATAAATATTCACATGCAATAAAAGATTATTGGATGCAAATTATTTCATAGAATTAGACGACCTTAATACATGATAATTATAAGATAGAGTATGCGTAAAATGTTGCTTGATGGGTGAATTTAGTAGTGATAACTAGCATGTTTATTGGCTTGACATAAATGTGTAGGTAGTATACATACTCTTTCGAGTATAATGTTAGAATGTTTTATTTTAGACTGACTTTGATTATAAAATATCTCAAAAAATGACTGTCACGAATTTGTTTCTTGGTCGAGATAAATAATAAACAGAAATTGTTGGCTATTTTAATGGGCTAGTGATACTGTGAAAACGGTTTGCATTTACCGGGGACGTGGTATGTATATTATGCCAGTAAAGTGTGTCGGAATTCAGATGTAAATTGTCTCGAGCACACTGTCAATAGTTTATTTTCTTAACTTACCCTTACTCTTCGATAGATGGCACAATAGACTTAGAATAAATGTGTTTCATACATTACATAATTAATAGATACACTTAAGAAACGAAGTGCGTCATTAAATACATAAAACAAGTGCAATATGAAAGTACAAAATTTGACCTTTCATTTGAATTTTGTATACTTTACAAAAAAAGGGAAAAACTGAAAAAGGAGGAATATATGGATAGATTTTCCAGTATTCTGAATTCTCTTAACTATAAGAATTTCGAAAATGTTTTACTATCAGAATCTTTACTATATGTAAGACCATGTCCCTGATAACGTACTTATATAGCGTTGAACTTTTGAATAATATTATCTAATGGTAAAACAAAAGCGGTTTAGAACGATTTAACGTTATACAATTTTCTAATCACTTTAACGTTATCCTGAATTTTGTATGATCGAATTTCTATATTCGAACGACGAATTCCATATTCTTATGGATCGATATTTAATGATGGATATTAAGTAGCTCCAGTAGTAGTCTGATTTTTGGCATAATTGTAGAGTAAATGTACATATAATTATTTTCCAAAAAATACTCATTGTTAAATGTATATGAGGGGAAACTGTTATAAATAAGGCTATTATCATCATTTATATTAATTGAGATAATAAATGACGTTTCGATTAAATAAGATTTTTTCATGTAATTACTGATTTTGTTCTTTTGGTAAGAAAAACACATTTGTTTACGTCATATGAAATGCAAAATAGTGTCATCATTTTTTTCGCAAGTGACTTATTGTCATTTACTTCTTGGTATCATTTTATGATCGAACTTTCTTTTATATAAAAACTATAAAAATTTTCAACTTTTTC